GCCCAGGTATTGGCGAGCAATCACAGCGCATTGCTGTCCAGGCTGGGCGCGGAAGCCGTTGAATGGGGCACGCTGTGGTCTACGCAGCCAGCGGATACGGACACCTGTCTTGCGGCACTGCGCAGCGTAGCGGGCGGCACACCGGTTGTTCTGCCTTCGCAAGAGATGACTTTGGCGGCAGAGCGGGTTCATACGGTGATGCCGATGCTGGCGCGCAAGGCTGCAGGCCGGCACGCGCTGAATCCTGGGCTTGAGCGAGTGGCATGGCGTGCAGAACGCTGGGTGGCCCCCATTACGGTGGTGACCGCATTGGTCGGCTTGGTCCTGGCCATCGTGGGCGTGTCGGTTGGCCAACTGGCAGAGCAGCAGCGCAACGAGGGACAAAGCCAGCGGGCCGAAATGGCGGCGCTGCAAAGCCGCATCCAGGCGGTGTCATCGGTGGAGGCCCCCCAGACGTTGCTGCCGGTTGCTGAGTTCTCCCGCATGCTGGATGAAGGCGCGCGCCACGACCCGGTGGCGTTCATGGCAGTTCTGAAAGCCGCTTCCAACAAGGACATTCGCATTCAGCGCGTGCGCCTGGAAACCACGAACTCGCCAGGGGGCGCTCAGCCCCGTGGCCGTGCCTTCCGGGTGGACGGTGTGGTGGCGCCTGGAGCCTCTGCTTCGGTGACGCGCTGGGTGTCGCAGATGGCTGCGGCTGGCTGGACGCTCAAGGCTGTGGACCCTACCTATACGCTGCCCGGCGCCTTCTCGTATGAGCTGGTTGCAACCGCAGCAGCTCCTGGAAATGTGAAACCATGAAATACGCGGCTTTGCTTCTGAACGGACTTGCCGTTCTCCTTCTGGGCTGGGGGCTCTACGGCGTGTACCAGCTCAGCCAGGCACGCACTCCCTCTGTGCGTCCGCTGACCATTGAAATGTCGCCGCTGCCTGCTGCGCTTCGCACCGATCAGGCCCGCGTGGCCGAAGCCTTCGGCGCGATGTCTCGCATCCAGGCCCAGACGGCGACCGCCGGCACCGATCCGCAGCGGCTTATCGCGCAGCCGCTGCCAGGCAGCGATGTCGTGGGCAGCGTGCAGATGCCACGCCGCTCTTTGTCGGTGCATCTGGACGACCTGGGTGCCGAGAGGCAATCGGTGGTGATCGACGGCCAGCTGGCCCGTCAGGGCGCTCGCCTGGAGGGCGGCGGACGTGTGGTGCAGGTTCGCCCGAGCGGGGCAGTGGTTACAGAACGTCTGGGCCGCCAGACGTTGACGTTGCCCCAGGGCGATTTGCGGGTGGGGACGCTGCGCTGGCCCGACGGATCGCTGGCCAGCATCAATACCCAGGAGTTCCGTTCGGGCCTCTCCGGTGCCCAGCCCGGTCCGATCAAGAGCCTGCCATGACCACGAAGGCCCGCTTGCAGCACATGAGCAGCACGGCAGTTTGGTGCCATGAGCACTTCGCTCCGTGTGCTCTGGCCGG